TTATAGCTCAGGCCAGTATCAAACTACTGGCCTCAAGTGATCCTCCCACCTCAGCCTCTCAAAGTGCTAGGATTATAGGTATGAGGTGCTGTGCCAGCCTCTTGGTATATTTTGGATAGCAATCTTTTGTAAGATGTGTTTTTTGCAAATATTTTATCCCAGCCTATGGCCTATCCTGCTTTATATTTTTACAGTCCAGGAAATGCCGATATTTTTACTCTTTAATATTAATTTTTTCTTTCTCCGTTCCTTTCTTTCTTCTGCCCTATTCTTTCTACAGAGTTGTAACATTTCATCTTAACTGTTCTTTGGTATTCAAATTCTAGATCTTTTTATACTATGCTTCACTTTCCTTTTTGTGAAGGGGAGGCAAGGGGTTGTTTGTGATGTGACCAACTCTTCAGTGGGTTTGGGAAAATGAAGGGATTTATAAACATTGGAAAAACAAAAAACAAACAAAACAAAACCAAAAAGCTGTCAAGCCAGGAAGCTCAAAGGAATACCACTAAGTGAAAGTAGCAAGTCTGAAAGGCTACATACTGTATGATTGAAAATATGTAACATTCTGGAAAGGGCAAAACTATGGAGACTCTAAAAATGATCAGTGGTTGGGGGAAGACAGGATGAACAGATAGAGCGCAGGGGATTTTTAGGGCAGTGCAAATAATCTGTAAGATACTGTAGCAGTGGATATAAGACATTATGCATTTGTCAAAACTCATAGAGTGAGCCCTAATGTAAACTGTGGACTTTGGGTGATTAAGAAACAGGAACAGCTAGGCTTGGGGATACCTGCCTGTAGTCCCAGCTACTCTGGAGGCTGAGGCAGGAGGATCGCTTGAGGCCAGCAGTTTGAGTCTGTAGTATGTTGTGATTGTACCTGTGAATAGCCACTGCACTGCAGCCTGGCCAAGGTAGTGAGACCTTGATTCTTTTTTTTTTTTTTTTTTTGAGACACAGTCTCACTCTGTTGCCCCGGGCTAGAGTGCTGTGGCGTCAGCCTAGCTTACAGCAACCTCAAACTCCTGGGCTCAAGCGATCCTCCTGTCTCAGCCTCCTGGATAGCTGGGACTACAGGCACGCGCCACTGTGCCCAGCTAACTTTTTCTATTTTAGTTGTTTGACTGATGTCTTTCTATTTATAGTAGAGACGGGGTCTCGCTCTTGCTCAAGCTGGTCTCCAACTCCTGAGCTCAAGCAATCCTCCCTCCTCGGCCTCCCAGAGTGCTAGGATTATAGGCGTGAGCCACCGCGCCTGGCCGACCCTGATTCTTTTAAAAAAAAAACAAACCCACAACAATAAAACAAACCCCCAGCAACAAAGTGGTATGAGAGAAGAAAAAGACACTAATTGGTTTTAGGGAAACTTTTAATTTCCAACATTTTTTCTTTCTTTGCCTGTGCCTTTACTTTTTTGGTGTCACATCTTAATGGTTTGATTTCATGACATATTTTCCTTGGTTTTCTAGAATTTTTCTCTTAAAAAATACATAGACCAAAAAATAAATTTGCTTTGAAATCTTTGAGATATTTTACAGTGTCATTAGCAAATCTGCTAATGAATTTTTCCTAAGCGCAGTTAGGAATTACTTCTCTGCATTATACGTTTGGACTTGAGTGCTTTTTGCTAAACATTTAAGGTTTTTTCTACTATTGTTTTAATATAAACATGTGGAAAGACTCTTCTTGTATAGAAAAATGACTTGTGAAATATTTGTTTCAAGTTTCCTGGAGTGCTTTTTTTTCCCCCTCCTTGGGAAAAAAGATCAGGAATTTTATGTTTATAGTTTTTATTTTATTCAGATAAATATTGAAAAAAATTCTAGCTTTTTTTGGTTGAATTTATTCTTATTCAGAAAGAATTAGTCTGATGATGTGATAGATTAAATACAGTTCTGCAAATGGATTCTAAGTAAACCAAATCCTCTATGTCATTAAGATTGTTAGTGAACATGAATTCAGTCACTGAGATAATAAAACATTGTTTTCTTCTTCCATAGTTGTCTTGTTTTTTCACCCCTTACTTTTTAAGCTGCTTTAGGTTTTAACAGCAATGTGATTGGGATGAGGGGCAGGTTGGGAGGGCCTTGACAGAGAACTACAGTTAGCTATTGGACTGATCAGCACCAGACAGTATAGGGTCGGAATGGCCAATGTTTGATATTTTGTTATGAATCTTCCAGTACATAAATTCTGTTTTCTTAAATTAAATTAATCCTTATGATACTGTTTGATAATATTAAATAAGCTCTTACTTATTCTGTTTAATTTCTGTAATGGGTAGAAAAAAATCATAGTCCAGTTGTTACTCTTTTGTTGCTCTGGTTAGAGATCTCTATTTAGGACAGCATGGGCCCAGCTGGCGAAAGTAGCTGAGGGTCAAAGCACGATGTAGGATGATGATAAAAAAAAAAGTAGCTTATGGGTGGGTCTTGGGAAATAATGTTTTCTTTGCATGATCCTTAAGGAAGCTGACCTGGTTACAACTCATGAATTGGGACACAATTTTGGAGCAGAACATGATCCGGATGGTCTAGCAGAATGTGCCCCAAATGAGGACCAGGGAGGAAAATACGTCATGTATCCCATAGCCGTGAGTGGCGATCATGAAAACAATAAGGTATGTGTATGTTTGGGAGCTTTTTTATGTGGTTAGGAAAGAAGGAGGCTGTGTGTGATGATCATAATGAGAGCTGAGAGAAGTATTCCATTCCTAGGTATTTCCCTAAGGATGGGTCTGCAAATTACAAAGTACCTTGAAAGTTGGTTGTGTTTTGGAGTGAAATGTGGTCCATCTAAATCAGACTAAAGCAGCTGGACGTGGTGGCTCACACCTGTAATCCCAGCACTTCGGGAGGCCAACTTGGGAGAATCACATGAGGCCTGGAGTTTGTGACAAGCCTCGGCAACATGGAAAGACTTCTGTACAAAAAATTTTAAAAATTAACAGGACATGGTGGCATGTGCCTGTAGTCCCAAATTACTTGGGAGGCTGAGGCAGGAGGATCGCTTCAGCCCAGGAGTTTGAGGTTGCTGTGAGCTATGATTGCACCACTGCACTCCAGCCTGAACAGAGTGAGACCCTGTCTCAAAATAAATAAATAAATCTGGTTAAAGCTCTCATTTGGACTGTTATCAAGCTTAATACTGTGCAGATTGGGATCTAAGAAAAATTACTAATAGTAATGGCTTTTGTTAGAGTTCTGGATTTCAAGGTCTGGTGGGCTTAGACTTTATGTTAAAAATTGCCTGTCACTTTGTTACAAGTTGTCATCGTTTTAACTCTACAGTACTCCACAATTTACATGTTTTTACTAACTTTTGCAATAAAACACAGTTTGCCAGACTACAAACCCCATGTGGGAAAGGCCTTTGTCTTGTTCACAGCTCTGTCTCCAGTGCCTGGTAGGAGTACCTGGCACTTAAATATTCGTTAAGTAAATAATTGAATGATTTACTATTTCAGGTTTCTGATAGAGTACACTAGTTGATTTGGGATATTGTAAACAATTTCAGAGACTTGAGAAGTGCCTGTGACTAACTCTTAGAATCTGAACTCAAAGTTAAAAGTATTAATAAATGTCTAGTTCTTTCATTTTATTTGAGGTTAAGCAGTTTAAGGCAGCGTGAGGAGAACATTAGTTGTGCTGCTGTGTTGGGGAGGCCCTAAAGGAGTCTGGTGTGATCAGGGGAGAGGGAGAATATCGTCCTGACGTGTGCTTTGAGCCAGGCCACGGGCTGGGAGAGCCTGCCCAGGATCTGGAGGAAAGGATGACGTCTGGGTTTTCCCAGCCCTGACACACTGCTTTTCAAAATTTCTGCCTCCTTTTCTTTTTGTAATCTTTTTTGATTGTTGTTTGATTTTTTTTTTTTTTTTTTTTTTACTGTTGTGTATATTTTCTGCATCTCGTTTTCTTTGGTTTTTATGTCTAAACATTCTCTTCGTTTCTTGTTTTGTGGATTATGTTTTATTGTTCCTCTGCTTGACAGCTTGGGCCTGAGGAATATTTTCCTATCCCTTTGTGTCCACTCTTCCAACTTATAAAAACCCTTGTTGAATTTTCCTCCTTTTTTCAAAGGTCGCCTCTGCATTTCTAATCACATTGTGCTGTGCAACAGAATGTTCTGTAGTGATGGGAATGCTGTACATCTCTGCGCAGCGCAGTAGCCACCAGCCATGTATGGCTGTGGAGCAACTGAAATGCGGCTAGAGACTGAGAAGCAGAATTTTTAATTCTGTTTTATTTACATTTACAAGTGGTGTCCTGTGATGGGAAGTGGGAATGGCCATTAACTCTAAAAGGACACGAGGGACCCTACTGGGAAGATAGAAATGTTCTAAAACCTATTTATGGCGATGGTTTCACCATTTGGTAAAGTTACTACAAATAACTGAGTTGTACACTTGAAATGAGTGAATTTTGTAATAATGTAAAATATGCCTTAATCTTTAAAAAGCAAACTAAAACACTAGTGTAGGAGCAGAGGATATAGAGGAGACATGAAGCCACGAGTTGATTGTTGTTGAAGCGGATGAGGCATGTGGGCTTTTGTGACGCCATTCTGTCCACTTTATAGGTGCTTGAATGCTTCTGTAATAGAAAGTATAAAATCTAAATAGCCGCATATAACTAGTAGCTACCATATTGGACAGCGCTCCTCTGATTGACAGGTCACTTGCTTCTTGGTTATGAGGACGGTTGTCAGAACTTCGGGGGAAAATGTTTTACTTTGCAAACTCTGCCTGAGTGGGCACACATGTTGCTAACTCTTCTGCTGTTCAAGTTCTTCGTAGAATTTCCCCTATGGGCTCTTCCGAACTGCCCTGTAAGAACTTGCCAATGAGAATGGAGTGCCCACAGAGCTGTTTTTTTTTCTGGAGCTGCTAGTCTGTATCAATGAAGAACAATTTACTTATTTTATCCCGAGCATGTCATATTTAGTGCGTGTTTTTATAGTTTGGTTTTCCCAAGTAGCAGTCTCCTTGGAAGAAGATAATGTGTATCCTCTAATTTATGTTTTAAATGAATTCCCTAATAAAAATGTTTTTAACTAGATGAGAAGGGCTACGGGACAAAAGTAGTTTCTAGTTTCCTTGACCTAGAAAGACAGAACTCTGCTAGACAAGCCACTGAAAAGCAGTGTGCCATGGGTGGGCTTCACTGTGGAAAGATGACATTAGTGAAAAGGAATGCGGGACTTTTGGGATTGTAACCTCTTAGGAAGGATGTTACAGTTAGCTGGAGGGAAGAGGAGGTTTTATGATGAGGATGCACACAGATGCACACAGAAGGCCCCCAGGTCTGTAGGGAACATGTAGGCAAAAGGCTAGAGTTGAGATTGGTCCCTTTTTCCTTAGCACTATCCAGGGCCTACAGCTACGTGGGAGATGTAACTGATAAATTAGTGAAGAGCCATTCTTATCTGTTTACTGTGAATTTTAATTCATTAGGACTTGAGCCTCCCAGAGGTGAAATGATAAAATGGAGCTCATAGATCTGCAGTGCTGATGAATAAACCCACCAAAATTCCAACTGCCTGAGGCCCAGATTGGAATAACTAGACCTCTTAAACATCTTAACTATAAAAACAAATTGGAAGATCTTTTTAAAAAGTCTAGTTAGTATTCTGTTTAGGGTGATGAGGTCTTCACTATCTTTCTGAAAGTAATTCCTTTGATATCTGACTCAGTGGTTACAGGTGCCTTTGGAGGATCCTGTCCTCTCTGCTCTCAGGGGCTTCGTGATT